CTGCCTTCGGCTCAGGTCATGATCCCAGGGTCCTGGGATCGAGCCCCGCATCGGGCTCCCTGCTCAGCAGGGAGCCTGCTTCTCCCTTTCCCTCTGCCTGCCACTCTGCCTACTTGTGCTCTCTATCTCTCTGTCAAATAAATTAATTAAAAAAAAAAAAAAGACAACAAAGGGAACAGGGACAGTGGGTCTTCTCAGCACTGCTGCTATTTGTGTATGTGACCCAACTCATAAAATGAGGGGAAAAGTCCAAATTACAAAAGAAAAAAGAAAGGTAAGGGACACCAAAACTAAGACCAATATTTTCTCTTTCATATGCTCTTTTCATAACCATTAGCTTCAATATTGCAAAGGTTCTTCAAAATCTGGGACACTTTACAAGGTTCCCAGCCTTTGCCACTTCTATTCAAGGTACTATCAGAAGAGCAATCCAGCAAGGTAACGAAACAAAAGGCAGCCAAATTGGAAAGGAATAAGTACAATTACCTCTGTTCACAAATTGTATGACTTTATATGTGGAAAACCACAAATATTCAGCAAAAAAAAAAACCCCCAAAATGTTGCATTTCTGGTCCCTAACAATGAACGATCTGAAAAAGAAATGAAGAAAAACAGTTCCACTTACAACAGCATCAAAAAGAATAAACTACTTAGGGATTAACTTAATCAAGGAAATGAAAGACATACTGAAAATTATAAAACATTGCTCAAAGATATTAAAGAAGACATAAATACATGGGAAGACATCCAGTGTTCATGAATTGCAAGACTGAATATTGTTAAGATGCAAATACCACCCCAAGTGACCTCCAGAGTCAGTGCAATCCCTGTCAAAATCCCAATGACATTTTTTGTAGAGAGAGAAAAACCCACTGTAAGATTCCCGTGGAATCTCAAGCTACCCCGAAATTGGCAAAACAATCCTGAAAAAGAAGAAGGAAGCTAAGGACTCCCACTTCTTCATTTCAAAACTTACTACAAAGCTACCATTATCAAAACAGTGTGGTACTGGCCTAAAGACAGGCACAGACCAATGGACTAGAACAGAGAGCCCAGAAATAAATGCTTGCATATATGGCCAAATGATTTTGGATGGGGGTGCCACGACCAATGGGGGAAGGATGATCTCTTCAACAAATGGTGCTGGGAAAACTGGGCATGCCCGTGCAAAACCATGAGGTCGGGCTCATCTAACCCCACATAACACCTGCCTCACAGAGATCAAAGAACGGGGTGTGAGAACTGGCTGGGAGGGCTTTAGAATGGGGGGCTGCTCTACGGACCTAGAGAGTAAGGAAGAAAGAGGCGTTTGATGGAGAGCAAAGAATTGTTGGCATTTTTGAACACCGGCTTCGGGACAGGTGTTTTGTAGGAATGGTTTCACTTAACCCTCCTAAAATTCCTCTGAAGGAGGTATTGCTTAGCCTGATGAAGAAAATAAAATTAGCCGTAATCCTCCAATCTAGAGATGGCCACTGGTATGAACCTCTACATTAAAAAAAAAACGCTTTTCCTGGGGCGCCTGGGTGGCTCAGTCAGTTAAACGTCTGCCTTCTGCTCAGGTCATGATCCCAGGGTCCTGGGACCGAGCCCCGAGTCGGACTCCCTGCTCCGCAGGAAGCCTGCTTCTCCCTCTCCTGCTCCCCCTGCTTGTGCTCTCTCTCTGTCAGGTAAATAAATAAAATCTTTAAAAAATGTTTTTCCTTATTAAACTTCTCTTCAGGACTTAACGGAGCAATGGGAGCTCGTGGCAGCCAGGGAAACAGTGCACATTAAAATCGGTATCGCCCCCGCCAGTTTCCCCTGGGGGGCTGGAAACATGGCTACAGTCAACAAGGGGAAGCAGATGGCATGGCTGAATTGCTCTGAGAGTGACCGGCCAAGGGACACCACCTCAAACCACCGAAGTCTGGATTTAAGCCACAGCGCCAGGTGGTCTTCATCATTCATGTGTTCAGTGAGATATAATTCATTAAGGGGCTCGTGTGTAGCAGGTGTCATTCAAGATTCCGGGAATACAAAAGAATATGATCCTGACCTCCCCCCTCTGGGGTCTCTTACAATCTAACAAGGAAAGAGAGCAGTATTTGAGAACGCTGTAACTGGGGTCTGTGAGGCTCAAGGACTGGAGAGCCACCTCTTTGGGGAGATCAGAGAAGGCCTCCTGGCAGAGGTGACAGCCCCGGGTGCATGTGGACTTCAGATACAAACTGGTGCTGAGCGCAAATGCAGGACAGCAAAGGTGGACACAGGTGGCAACAGAAAAGCCTGGTTCCAAATGCGAAGCCACTTTTCGCATCCCCTTACAGTGCATGCACGGAAAAGAAAACCCAAAAGCATCGTTGCCCCTCCGTGGACCCAGCCCCTTTAATTGCAGAAATTATAGAGAGCGCGCTGCGCCTGAGCCAGCCGGTAAATCTTCTGCTTAAGGACTCTCCTCCTGGCAGAGGTCTCGCTCTGTTCTTGAAGCAGCCAGGAATAGTGCTCTCTCTCCTGTAGTATCTGCATCATGGCTTTCTGTAAGCAACTGCCATACTCTTGGAGTATGAAATACTGAATTATGAATGGGATCTGGTTGGCGAGACGTTTGCTGGCTTCCTGGAAGAGGGGATAAGAAAGGTCAGCTGGAGGGGTCTTGGCCTGTGGTTGCAGCAAAGCCTTGGGATTCTTGGATCCACGGGTAATTGCCTCGATAGGTCCTGGTGGTCCCGTCCACCCCACTGCAGTGGTCAGCACTGAGCCATGGGAAAGTTCTATCTGGGCTGCCTGAGTTCGACGACAGGCAGGTATCCCCTCGGGTACTAAGAACCCACCTGGCAGGCTAGCAAACCCATAGCACACTTCTGGACATCCCAGCCTTCCTGGGAGCTCCGCCCCTCTCCTCCTCCACCCCCACCCCCACTCCACCTCCCCAGAGAGTCCTCTGGGCCCTGCGATCCCCTGGCCCCTTCTGGGAGCAGACTGGGACCTGCTTTAGTGGCCACCTCATTCCCTGTCTGCATAGGTAAGAACAACTTTGCCTGGCAGCTGGACCTCACATCTGGGTAACTACTTTCTATTCTGATTCAGGAAAGGTTTCAGGATGGGCACCTGGGGGGCTCAGTGGGTTAAGTATCTGGCTCTTGATTTCAGCTCAGGTCATGATCTCAGGGTCGTGAGATCGAGCCCTGCATCGAGCTCCATGCTCAGCGGGGAGTCTGCTTCTCTCTCCCTCCCCCTCTCCTTCTGCTCCTCCCCCTGCTCTAGCTCGCTCTCTCTTTCTCTCTAAAATAAATAATCTTTAAAAAAAAAAAAGAAAAGGCTTCAGGAGTTGGGCTTCTTTGCAGGTTAAAATTACTTTCCTTTCTATGCACCCCACATTTCTTTCTTTCTTTTTTTTTTAAAGATTTATTTATTTATTTGAGAGAGCGAGAATGAGAGAGAGTACATGAGAGGGGGGAGGGTCAGAGGGAGAAGCAGGCTCCTCGCCAAGCAGGGAGCCCGATGCGGGACTCGATCCCAGGACTCCAGGATCATGACCTGAGCCGAAGGCAGTTGCTTAACCAACTGAGCCACCCAGGCGCCCTGCACCCCACATTTCTGTCCATGGACGGAGGTTTGGAAACTCTGGAGGTGATTGGGTCACAGAATCTAGGGAAAGGAATTTTCATTCCTATTTTGTGGAGCCGGTGAGTTTGAGGCCGTTTGAGTCCCGAATGCCTTCTGAACATCACGGAAAACTAAATGCTAACTAGTAAAGTTAGTGCTTGTTGTATTTTGCTGTATTCTGATAATAGCAATTTTGTAATTCACGCATAGCATAAAATATAAAGAACTTTGCAGTTGGAATGCATGCTTTGTCACATTAAAAACCTGATTCCCAAATTCCCCAATTAATTAAAAGTTCCTAGACAGGGTTACAACTATATGTTGTAACAACAGGGTTATAACTATAAATGAGACAATATGTGAGCATTTCTCACTGCAGAAGGGGCTTCAAATCGAGTAGCGGCCCCTCCCGCCTTCCCCTGTGAAGCAGCTTCAGTCAGAATGCCTGGGGCCTGCGGGGCCAATACCCCCGCCACCGATCTATGTGCTCACCCAGAAATAGGCATTCAGGTGCACCCCAATCTCAGTGATGGACGACACCGAAGACAGATCTTTTGAGAATGACAGTTTCAACTCAGGATTCTGCAAGGGCTTTCCCACTGGGTTAAAGATCTCTTTCCGGACTTGGCTCAGAACCACGCTGTAAATCTCGTCTTGACAATAAACCAGCTGCTCCATTCTGAACTGAAGTCGGATCAGATTTTCTGCTGTTTCTGCTTGTCTCGTTCTTATGTCTTCAATCTTGTTCTGGGTGGATAAGAGAAAGCACGTGACTTCTTGCCTCCCCCTTGTTGTTTTAAACATCGTAGGAAGTCCTATTATGTTGGGATGGTATTAGACGTAATTTCAGGTCCAAGAAGGTCTTGATTTTACATGGCGACTCTGAGGAGGACCGCTGCACCCCATGCTGCTATCCTCCTCCATCCTGTGTCTCTACCCCTGCAGGGTCCTGCCCACTCCTCTGCTGCAGGTCCTCCTCTCTGCCCTGACCTCCCTTCGCTCCCACATCACCGTCTGCCTGCCCCCTCGATCGTGGTCTACTCTATACTTCTACGTCCATCACCGTGGTCTCTCTAATCAGCTTGAATCCACGCATTCGAGAATGAATCTGCACCAATGAACACAGTGGGGTAACAGCTTGACATCTCTGTTTCCCAGAAATCCCGTGACTCCTGCGTTACCCCCGCAGTTAGGGGCATTCTGGGAAGGGAAGGGATGACGTGGTGGAGAAGAGCCCCTTCTTGGGGTCAGGAGCATGGGGTGGGGCAGGGGGCCAACAAGCAGGGCCTGGGAAGGACAGGCTGCTGGAGAAACGGTGGTCCAGGACCCGGCCTGTCCCCCATCCCCTGTTGAGGCACCCGAGGCCTCAGACGAAGCCCTTGGGAGAGATGGAGAGGTTAGAAGTCAGATTGAGTTTTCGCCAACTGGCCAAAGAGGTAAAAGGAGACATTCGGCTGTTACGGGAAAATGGCAGAAATTCTCTTTCCTGCTCACCTGAGTAGTGGAATGAGATTCAGACCCACTGGCCCAGGCTTGGGCAGAGGAGGGTTTTTATCTCGAGCCTGGGGATGGGGCGGGGGGGGGGACCAGGAACACCCCTGGTTCCCATCACTGAGAGGGAAATCAGAGCTGTTTCAGTGGAAACCAACAGAGCTGCGACAATATTTTTAAGTCCCACTTGGGAAGATTTTGGAGTAGGACTAGTGGACAATTCTGTCCTTTGTGGTAGAAAGAGATTCAAAGAACCGGGCAGTCACCACGTATGTTCAGAGCATCACCACGGCGCCTCCAGCCCGCCGTGCGGCGGAAGCTCCTACAGACAGGGTAACTGGGCCGAGAGCTTTGTTCGTCCCTCCCGGGGGGGAGGGCAGACTGGCTGCCACCAGCCCAGCCGGCCCGCAGTTATAACCTTGGCCTCGGATTTCTAAACGACAGTAAACCTGCCACTTCTCTCAAAGGTTAGACCCAGAGAAAAGAGCCAGCAGTACCGATGACTGGCACGGAGACTGTGGGTGCTTACCTGGGCTGTATGATTGAGGTTGGAGAATTCACTAAAATGCCTCTTGGCTGCATCGGCGAACGTTTGCCGGACAACTTCTGACCAAAGAGAGAACAAAGCATCCGTAAGTCGCAAGCAGGAATAAAACAGGTTAGAGACACAGCGAAGTGAAATCACGTTACGTGGACCCCATTCCAATGTCGTGCTCCCCAGATTTATAGACTAAGAGAGAAGGAGGGTACAATACATTGTCCCACGGAGACACAAAAGCCACCCCCACCCCCACCCTGCCCGGGTCCTGTCCACTTGCTGTCCTTTCATGGAGTGTGTGTTCTCTCCAGGACTAGGACCTGGCTATACCCCAGCATGGTTGGGTGGAGGGGAGGAATAGCCAGACCACGCTCCTGTGCACTCTTGTCTTCCCCCCAAAATGGTCAAAGAAGATCTTCCTGCTTGGTTTGATAATTGCACCCCGATCCTTCCCTCTAAGGCCCCGAGCCCTACAGAAGGTGGAAGGTACCGGGCTGGGCTGACCATGTGCAAGACACTGGGAGAGCTCCTCACCAACAGCCTGGTGGAGAACGGTGAGCGCGGGGTCTACCAGCTGCTCCATATACTGGTGCACTATGGTCTCGAACGTCTTGTAGCTGACAAATCCAAGAAGCTCTCTACCGCGATACTGCTTTTCATATATTGAGACTTCTTCGTGAATAATATTTTTAACTGCAGTATAAGACAGACCACCATGGTGAAGTCTAATGATTCCACAAACATTTTACGAATAGAAACTTTTTTTATTGCAGCCTTGCTCACCCACGGACCCCAAGGCAATATCTCTAAATGGAGCTTTTTCATAATGAAAAAAAAATTATGGTCTGATTATGCCAGTTTAAGGAAAACTGACTTTTAAGAAACAAAATTGTTATCCTATGGAAACGTGTTTCAGTTGAGAGTCATCACCCCGAGAGATGAGCTTAGTGTTTGTAACTGGTAGAAAGTACCAGATTAGTTCCACGAAAACAGAAACTTAAATATTATTACAGCACTTAACAGATCTCCCAAGAACACATCCAGACTACAGTTGGAGGAATCCTACCATGGACGTGAACAGTGCTGTTTTTATCAAGTGCCAAAACAAAGATACCACACACACACACCCCCTGCAGGCATCTGGACTCTGGAAGAAGGGAAATTGGAACTTCTTCAGGCAAAGCAAGGAGATTCTTATCAAACCACCGACCTCTGCGGTCTTGCATTAGGGGCGAAGAGAAAAAGGCAAATGAGGTAAGTAGAATTGTCTAGTCTCCAAACAAAGGAGCAAGAAGAAAGCTAGAGGTGGTAGCATTGTAGAATTTGGTGAGGGCAAGGCTCCACATCGATGGCTGAGAAGCGGTGATCCATTGCTAGGGGGCCCCATGGTGTCTTGTGTGGGCATGTTCGGCTGTTTGCACACTTCTTCTGAGCCAGAAGCAGCCTCTGGTCTTGGTAAATAGGACCCCAAGGTGTTTAGGGGGAGCCTTGTCCCAGGACTTACCTTTTTGGGTATTGGTTGTGAGTACAAGTACCCAGCTTTCAAAATGCTCCCTGATTTTGTTAAATAAGCGGGTATCTTTCTTCTTTACGACTTCTTCTCCCTCTATTAACTTTTCAATGTCCTGATTAAACACCTTAATTTTCTGAAAATGAGATAAAGTCATCAATCTGCGCTGTAATCACATTAAAGAGCTGGGACCTGCCTGGGGCTGCAACGTGTGGTGTTGGGCGGGGCGGGGGGGGAGCGCTGCCAGAAATCTGGTCAGCCACCCAACCACTCCATCTCCCAGGCGAGACAAATGGCGGGCAGCTCCCTGCAAAACAGGGCTCCCGGCATGCCACGGGCAGGGACGCATGGGGGGCCATCTCAAGAGGTGCTGGGCCACCAGGGAGGATGTGGCCATCTACAGGGATCTGGTGACACAGAAACCAGTTTCTGTGCCTGAGTGTCACAAGGAGTCCCGGTCACCCTCACCTCGATCAGAAAGAACATTCTATCGGCTTCATTGCTGGGGATGTTGTCTCCACACTGGTGCAGTTCCTCTGTCGCCCTCTGGTGGCTCTCCCTTATTTGCTTTTCTAACAACGGGAGTGATTTCTGAACAAAATAATAGCAAACAATGAAACTCCGCAGCTTGATGAAATTGGCTGACAGGTTTCTTAGATACATGGGCGGAATCCCATGTGAAAGCTTTCAAGGGGACCCGGAATCTCTATTATTGTGTGAAGTTTGTTAACACGGACACCTGTTAAAGAGCCAAGGATGGCTTTGCGTGCAATGGGTGTGCGCCACGGCCTGAAAGATCTAGTGTAGAAATTTGCTGTTTTGTTAATGTCATTGGGGTGGGGAGGAATCAAGAGGTGGCCAGGTTTTGGTTTGGCTTGGTGCTCTGTATTTAGAGAACAGGTAAGGGCACCTGGGGGGCTCAGTCGATTAAGCATCCAACTCTTGGTTTTGGCTCAGGTCGTGATCTCAGGGCTGTGGGATCGAGCCCCAGGCCAGCCTCTGCGCTCAGCGGGGAATCTGCTTGGGATTCTCTCTCTCCCTCTCCCTGTGCCCCTCCCTGCCGCATACTCTCTCTCTCTCTCTCTCTAAAATAATAAAATCTTTTAAAAAACTTTTAGAGAACAAGTACACTTGAATGTAACATAAGCTTCCTTTAGTAAAATGTTCTGTTGGTGATCATTTGGGTGTCATAAACTGATAAACAGTGCTAGGGTAGAGGGTCTATCTTGGATATCGGTGTCAGGCTGGGTATAGTCCTAACCAATCAGCGATGCTGATGCTAAGGAAGGGGAGGAGAAGGAAGGACATCGAGAGGCACCACAGAGGGCTGTCTTTGGGCTAAACGCCATTCTGCACCCCCCACATCTCAGTTGAGCCCCACACTGCAGGACAAAGCACATGGCTTTACTGCCTCTTGGATTTACGAGAGAGGAACCTAAGGCTCAGAGAGGCAAACTGCCTGATCCTGTCACCAAGCGAGTAAGTGGTGGAGTCCCAGTGCACGTCCTGCTCCCCGCCTCCCCAGCCCAAGCAGGTGGACACAAGGCCTGAGGGGCCAGTGGCCCCAGCGTCTGCTTCAGTGAGTGGGAACACTGCAGCCAGACAGGAGGAGTGCGTGGGGGGTTAAAGGCAGTTTGTGGATTAGCATCCCAAGCCCAGGTAAGATGCTGACGAAGGTGGACGACACCAAAAGTAATAAGGTCCTCACAGGGGCTTTTGTTTTGTTTTGTTTTGTTTTCAGGCATTTTGAATCTATGGTCAGAAATGTATTCAATTTTTTCCTGATGTTTCAAATGATCATTATCATAATGGTCTTGTTATGAATTTTAAAAAATTAACTTAGAATACCACAAATGTAAAATTAAAGTTTTAATGTAAAATATTTAAACGCTGAGAAATATATCATCAAAAATACTTATCAAAACGCAATGTCTTTTCGCAAAAACAAAGTTTTTGTCAATGAGACGGGCTGTGTCCTTTAGACAGGGGTATGTCTTTTGAAGCCCTCTTGTGCAAATGAAGGGGGTTCCACTGGAATCAGGGCTCCTCAAAGTATGTTTCCCGGACCACCTGGGAAGTTACAAGTGCAAATTCATTGCCTCCTACCCTCTAGATTTACCGACTCAGAAACTTGAATTGGGGCCCAGGAATCTGAATTTAAATAAGCTTTCCAAGTGACTCTTGTGTGCAGTTTGAGAACCACTGGCCCCTTCCAACTGAATGTTCCTGGAGTATGTGTTTCCTGGCTCAGAAGAATTCATTGCTTTTGTCTGCTGGTAAAATAATTGACTGTTTCGTTCTCAAGGTCGACAAAATGTTAACCTCTTGCAAAAGGATACATTTGCTAAGTGCGGGTTCATTCCTTTTACCCTTCTAAAGTGGCTTATCGTGTTCCTCCTTCCCTTGTTGCTTCCCCCAAATTGACAGATTGAGCAATTTCTTCAACATTACACGGCTGTTGCTTCCAGGTTTTGGAAGCTCTGCTGGGAACCTCTGATCATGAGCGGTTTGGTTTTCAGAATGAGCTTGTCTTCTGGCTTGTGTGGGCAGCTCGGGGGGTGTCTCAGCCATCTCAGGATGGAGGGACTTGGGTAGGCTGTGATTTTTACAACTCGCGACCCAACCCGTTGACTCACATTGATGTGCAAGATGAGCTCATTGGTCAGTCTTTCTGCCAGACGGGGCACCGTAGCCTTTCCTTCCTCCAGGAGAGCTCTGAGACAAGACAGAACACATGGGCGTTCAGGAAGGACCCTGGTTATCAATACTGTCAGGAAAACCTCGCTGAAATGGAGGCGGGAGGCCAGAAGGGGGAGCTCCCACGCCATACCGTGGTCTAAGAAGTGTCCATTCCAGACCCAGCAGAAGTCTCCTCAACAGGAGAGAATCATCGGCTTTGGGCCCCAGAAAAAAGGATGTGCGCCATCTTTCCTACAAGCAATCCACCACCCTTGCAACTCAGCCAAAGGAAACCTGTCAGCACCCCGAACGCTTGTCTTTCTTCAATGGACTGAGTTCAAAACAACCCAACTTCTCCTTCTTCTCCATAAAATAGTGCTCCTCTTCCTTATTTGTTGGACTTGCCTATGGTTTTACCATGACTCCTTTACCCCAGATTGCAATTCTCTGTTATTCCCAAATAAATTCATTTTTGCTGGAAAAAGAACTCACTGTTTTCTTTCTTTCTTTTTTTTTAAAGATTTATTTATTTATTTATTTGAGAGAGAGAGAATGAGAGAGAGCGAGTACATGAGAGGGGGGAGGGTCAGAGGGAGAAGCAGACTCCCCGCCAAGCAGGGAGCCCGATGTGGGACTCGATCCAGGGACTCCAGGATCATGACCTGAGCCGAAGGCAGTCGCTTAACCAACTGAGCCACCCAGGCGCCCTCACTGTTTTATTTCTAAGGTCAACAACCTATATGATCATTTTTCCTATTCTGGGCTTTATTAAGTGTCAGCTCCCTAGGGTGACACAGGCCATCAGAAAGCCAAGTAGTGCATAGAAAGACAGTTGCTAATTATGGGGTGAGCCCAAACCCAAGCAAGCAGGGTGCTAGAAAGGTTACATTTATTTTCTCTTTTATCATCTCAATAAACTCATGAGGTAAATCATCTTTTTACCCACAGGAAAACAAAACAAACTTAACTTCATAGAGGATAAATGACTTGCCCAAACTAGTATTTTATTTCTTGTAACAAATAATTATTTCCAAATAGCCAAATCAGTCTTAATAAAGAAGAAAACCTGGAGGCACTCTACTTCCTGATTTCCAAATATATATTACAAAGCTACCGTAATTAAAACAATATGGTACTTGCATAAACATAGACATACAGACCAATGAAACAGAACAGTGAGCCCAGAAATAAACCCAGGCACATGCAGTTAACTGGTCTTTGACGGAGGGTCAAGAGTACACAATGGGGGAAGGATAGTCTCTTCACCGAACGATGATGGGAAAACTGGACAATCACGGGCAAAATAATGCAACTGGATCCGTATCTTACACTATTACACAAAAGTCTGATTAAAAAGGCTTGAATGTAAGAGGCGCCCTTGTGGCTCAGTTGGTTGAGTGTCAGACTCTCAATTTCAGCTCAAGTCTTGATCTCGGGGTTGTGGGACTGAGCCCCACGTCAAGCTCTGTGCTGAGCATGGAGCCTGCTTAAGATTCTGCTCTTCCTCTCTCCCTCTGCCCCTCCCCTGCTTGTGCTTATGCTCTAAATAAATAAATAAATACATAAAAAGGCTTGAATGTAAGACCTGAGATTATAAAACTCCCAGAAGAGGGGCACCTGGGTGGCTCAGTTAGATGAGCTTCTGACTCCTGATTTTGGCTCAGGTCATGATCTCAGGGTCATGGGATCGAGCTCCATGCTCCGCGGGGAGTCTGCTTATCCCTCTCCCTCTGCTTCTCCCCTGTCTTGTGCTCTCTCTCAAATAAATAAATAAATAAATAAAGTCAATCTTGGGGAAAAAAAACTCCTCGAAGAAAACATTCAGGAAAATATTCACGATATTGGTCTTGGAAATGATTTCATGGACACAAAAAGCACAGGCAAGCAAAGCAAAAACAGGTAAGTAGGGTCCTACCTTGACATTACGCAGAGTGAAATAAGCCAGTCCCAGAAGGGCAGATACTGTCTGATGCCACTTACATGATCTGCCTACACTGGCCAAACTCACAGAACCAGAGAGGGGAGTGGTGGTTGCCAGGTGTTTGGGGGACGGGAAATAGGGACTTGCTAACCAACAGGGGCGACGTTTCAGTTATGCAAGATGAAAAAGTTCTAGAGGTGGCTGGTCAGCATTGTGCCTGTAGTTAACAAGATGGGGTTGTGCACTTAAACATTTGCTGAGAGGGCTGATCTCATGTTAAGTGTGCTTACCCCAATAAAACTATATTAAAAAAAATTTCAAATGGTGCTTACTAAGTGGCAGGCACAGTTCTAAGGGTTTTACAAATACTAATGCGTTGAATCCATGAACAACTGATTTTAAAGGCACAGCGAGGCTCAGTAGCTAGCCCAGGGCCACACACCAGGCTGCAGAGTGTTTGCAGAGTGTGTGTTATGTACAAGAATCCAGGAAGGATCCCACAGGACCATTATTCCAGCTCTGCTCTGAGTGTTTCTCATGCAACAGGTGAGTCCCTGCACACGGGCCCTCAAGGATTTCCACTCGGATGCAGGACGACAAAGCACATCAATGCACTTTTCTCGTCCAAGACTTTGCTTTCCCAAGGACCTTGAATGGTGGTGTCCACAGCGTGGTCCCTGCCCCGGTAACATTGACCTCTACCGGGAATGTGATAGAAACACAAATTCTTGGGCCCCGCCCCAGACCCGGGGTGAACACAGACATAGTCTACATTGATCTCTCTCACTTGGCCACCATCTTGGCCAGTTCTGGAAGGCAGGGCTGGCTTCCACAGAGGGTAGTCCTAGTGCGGCCCTAAAGAATCTCACCTGAAATACGGATGTGTTTGGAAGAACATCGTTTCTTTCTCGGTTGCCTCGGCCAGGCTCAGCTTGTTGTAGATCTCCTCCTGTCCCCGGCACCTCACGATCATGTAGCCCTTCTGCAGATGGTACGTGAGGTTCTGAGCCACTTTCACGACCATGTGTTCGGTACCCTTGTCCACGAGATCTGGTTTGGTCAGGATTCCTGGGAGAGGAGTAGCCAAGGACAGCGGAAAAGGTCAGTTTTCTCCTCACATACACGTGAATGCTGCTAGGCTCTGGGATCCTTCCTCAGCCAGGACCCGGGAAGCCTTCTGGAGCTCTGGTGGCGCAGGGCCTGAAACCCCATTCACGCATTCCATCGCCACCCCTCTTATCTGCGTCTTTATTTGCTCTCCCACTCACTCAATTCAGTCATTTCCTTGTGTAATTTATTGAACAGACATGTCTGCATCGTCAGAACAGACAGGCTCCACCGTGTTCCCTGAAATGGATCATTCCCTGCTGGACAGACGGTCTGGGTCCCCCTCTAGTATCTCCCGTCACAGACTCACTCTGCCCTCTTCCTGTGGGTGGAGGCCTCCTTGGATAGCGTCCTCCCTACCTCCCCCTCCCCCTGCTGCCCCCACAGCCTCCCACTTAGATTGGATGGAATGCTTTGAATTCTGAGTATCGATTTCCACTCATGTTCTTAGGGTGTCAAATAGCCATGCATTTTTCTGTCTATTTAGGGTGGAAACCTAACGTCATCTTCTACTCTCTTTGCCCTTGTTTTCAGTTTGTGGTTCAGTCTGACTATCTGGCTTATCATTTCCTGAAACTTTCCTGGCATCTAAGCAGTTGAATTTCTCTCTGTTCTACCTTCCTGTTACCAAAGGTGGTCATCAAGAGTGTACCCTTGGGGGGCGCCTGGGTGGCTCAGTCATTAAGTGTCTGCCTTCGGCTCAGGTCATGATCCCAGGGTCCTGGGATCGAGCCCCGC